TCCTATTTTTTTTTTTGTTGAAAATTTTCCACACATTTTGTTACATTTTCTTCTGGCCCATTAAAAGCTTAGCCTTTTACCCAGCCGCTTTGACCGTAGATCGACCCGCATCACTTCGCTTTGATGGCCAAAAACGTGCGTATGCACATCGATGGCGTTGGGAATTTGTTTAAGTGCAGTTGGCGTACTCGTATTTGGGCAAAACGTTTTGGCCATAGCCGAAAGGCGCTTGCAATCGGTTGGCAGCCGTGCAAACAACTTGTTGGTTGGTGGCTACTATTTTATTGCTGCTTCTGGGATTTTATTGAATACATCCATGTATTTATAAAAACAAATGTTGTAGGTGTATGAGTAGGTACATACATACCCATGCAGAAAAAAGTTATCAATTGATAAAAAATAGCCCACTTTTATCTAGCTTTTTTAATTAATGCAGGAGTAGTGAAGGAGATTGTTTTCTTTAAACGCGTTTCTATTTAAATGTCCTGCGCTTCGCAAATACTTTTTCGAATTGAGGACAAATAATATCATATTCATATTATCATTTTGTAGTTATGTCTGACGGAGTTCGAATATGAGACCACCTACAGCACAATATGTAAACAAATATGAAATGCAATAAAATAAATAAAGTAAATAAAAATAAAAATAAAATAAAATTTAAAAAAAGTAACATCATTTCTACTTTAGACTCTATCGATAACAAAACCGATAGTAATATCCAACAAAATATCGATCACAAAACCGATAGACATACCGATAACAAAATCGATGACAAATTCGGCTAAAATTTCGATAACAAAATCGATAATAGTATTAGTAGCAAAATCGATTAGAAAATCGATAAAAAATATATAAATCATCGATAACACAATCGATAAGCAAAACCGATTAGAAAATCGATAAAAATATCTATAACAAAATATATAAAAATAACAAAATCGATAACTTAATCGATAAAAAATCGATAACAAACTTGATATATATCGATAACAAAATCGGTAAATATCGATTAGAAAATCTATTAAAAATCGATCAAAATATCGATAACAAAATTGATAAAAATATCGATCATTATATCGATATGTTCCGAAAATATCGGTAGCAAGATTGATAACAGTATCGATAAAAATCTCGATAACAAAATCAATAAAAGTATCGATATCAAAACCGATAAAAATATTGATTATTTTATCGATAAGTCTCGAGAATCCCGAAAATCTCTAAAATCCCAAAATAGTTCCCAGATTGAGTCTCTGTGTCTCTCTCTATATCCTTTCCTCTTTAATTACCTCTATATTAATCTTTCGGCCGCTGTGATGTAGTGGTAAGCAGTGCGCGCTTCCACTCCGCAACGCCTGGGTTGAAGCCCTGGTCAAAGCAACATCGCAAAAAGTATAGAAAAAAGGTTTTTTCTTAACAGCGGTCGTCCTTTGGCAGGCAATGGCAAACCTCCGAGTGTATTTCTGCCATGAAAAACAGCTTCTCATAAAAATACACCGCCGTTCGGAGTCGGCGTAAAACTGTAGGTCCCTCCGCTTTGTGTGACAAAATCATGGCGCACGCCACAAATCGGAGGAGAAGCTCGGCCAAACACCAACATATGTGTAAGTGGCAATCTATTATTATTATTATTATTATTATTATTATTATATATTCATCTTTCTTTCTTGGCAAAATCTTTTTAGTTTCACTTTTATTTCAACATATTTTGATTAAAAGAAAAATACTGATAAAAATAAAATTTTTCATAAAACCAGGGTTGAAATCTTAAAATTCCTGCCCTTATTTTGTTTGTAAGTCAAATATGAGTGGCATTGTGCTACTATGATAGCACGGTCGAGTAATCATAGCCAACTTATGTACAGTAGTCGAAAAAATTACAGGCGCACCAAATTTTTTAAAATATTATTTTTTTTGTTATTTATTTCGGTTAGTTTTTTATAGTTCGCTCACCGCCGTCAACCGCCGCTAAAGAAGTTTCACTTTAAAAAATATTTTATTTTTCCTATTGCTTTTTTATGTCTAAAAGTAGTTAGTTGACTATTTCGCGGCCATCGCCCTAGAAATATAGTCAGCTTTCGTCAAAGAAAATATACAGATTATGAGTGACTTTTAGCTCCTTCCTAATCAGCTTAAAGTTAGGTTATAGTTAGATACATTTCCTGCAGGGACATATTTTTGTTATAAAGCCTTAAATGTTAACTATTGCAAGTATTTCGTTTGTGTTTCGTGCTTGTATTTATGTACATACCTTTTACTCTGTCCCGGCAGTCATGGATCAAGGGCAATCACGTTCGATCGTAAAAAGTTATTTACATATAAGGACAACAAATGTTACCAAACATATTGTCCATGTCGTTAGGCGATTTGCGCAATTTTTGTTAAGGAAAAACACAAAAATGAATGCAATTGGTTTCAATGTTTAAGACATGTCGGAATTGGTATTGGGAAAAAATAAGCCATGGGAAATAGGAATGTGAATCAAACGAGTGTGTATATATGCATACATACATATTTAGTGTGTATATTAATTTTTAGAGTCAAGAAGTAAAAACATTTTTCCCAAAATAATAAAATTTTTTTAAATTCTTAAGGCCGTTTCACATTTTTACAAATTTTTTCTTGTACACACAATTTTTTTCTTGTATACACAAATTGAAGCGAAAACCTGTTTAACAATCACACGCGACTGGTACAGTACATACAAATTCAATAGAAAATTTAATTGACAAAGTTTTCCATCACACGATGTGTTACTAATTTAGACCAAATTTTAGATTATTGCCCAATCGTCGGACTAGGCCTTTAGCCTGGGTCGACATTTTCTTGAAATCAAAGGCACCTCTCTTTCTAGACTAGATCGATGGTAGCGGAAGTCTTTATGCGTAGGTGGCCTTCGGCCGGCGCTTAAGGATTATAACCCTTACTAAGTAGAATTTTCTGTCTGTGTTGCCGGAAAAGGGGGCGGAAGTATTTTTGCGCAGAACTTCTTTCCGCGTAGGCGCCTAGGGAAGCTCGGCCAAACACTAACATATGTGTAAGCGCCAATATACTATTGTTATAAATTCTCAAAAAAAAAATCTCGAGTTGAAATGAAGCTACAAATTTGCTTTTATAGATACCTAGACATTTGTGTACGCATATACATATGTATATGTACATACCTATATCTATGCATTAAGTATTGTGTGCAACATTTATTGTTCGCCGTACTAATCACAGCAACTTACTTACATATAACTGAATTTTACTTGTACGCATTCTAACTGTTATGAGATTTCGAACAATGACGAAGTAATCCAATTATTTGTAGACTCGTTTCATAATTCTTATGTCTGGTGCAAATAAAAAAAGCAAAGCAAGGCGATCACAACTTCGGATATTTTTTGAGCAGTAAAAAAGCTGTGCTTTGCAATAGCAATAAAAAATGTTTACAACAAATGCAGGATATGTTGAGTATTAGGAAATTGATTTTGGTTTTTCTTTTCGTTCTTTTCTTTTTGCTTTTAAAAATAACAAATGTTATAAAGCTATGGTATAATGGGAACTTTAATGAATTATGCTGCATTATGTTTTTATAGCTCGGTATCTTCGAGTACTAAGATTATATCGATATAAAGTACCCCCTTGGTCTACTTAAACCCTAATTAGGCGGATAAAGCAAATAACTTAAGAAATAAAATTCAACATTGGCTGTTTTTAGGACCCGCAACTCCTCTGATAGTCAGCTTTCAAACTAGGGGGAGGGATACTTGCAAAGTTTTTTTTCATGGGAACCAAACCCAGTGTAATAAGTTAAATGTACATATAGGGGGTTTTGGTAGCTACAAATTTCTGTACTTATTTATTTCTATGCTATTTCATTGGAGCAAATCATGTCATAAACTTTCCATTGAAACCTCTTCATTTCATATTTTGTGAGAAAATTTTTCAATATCTAATCAGGAGTGGCCAGCATTACGCCCATTTTCTAAAAATTTATAATATTCTTATTTTTCGCCTAAAGATCATTGTAAATTTTCATTTTGTGCATCATTAGTTACTAAAATATCGCAGTCTTCGTATTTCTGAAAACTACCGTTATTTATCATCCGTCCTACGCTCAAAAGAAGAACCCGCATCAAAATAGGGCAGACAGCCACGGCTTAAACGATTTGTTTTTTCATTCCGGGAATTTATGTATACACTTGTCTGTATCTATCTCGATTTGTTTTGGCTATTACAAACAACCGTTATGTGAACAAAGTTAATATACCCTCGTCCACAAGCGCGCTCGGAACAAAAAAGTAAACAAAACCCATCCTTCTCACAGACATTGTATTTTTTATTGAGGTGTAGGGTCTAGATAAGCTTGTAATTTTTCTATTTTCCGACACACCCTAAGGTATTTGAAAAACATGGTATTAGACAACCAGAATTCAGAAGATCCATACATACCATACGATTTCCTTTTGCTTATCTGTTTGACTCAAATAAATCGAAAGCAAGAATGTAGAAAATATGACCTTTATAACCATGACAAAAAATAGTTAGTAAACAATTGCTATTATTTTCGTAACTGAACATTGTGTATGCGTAAACAAATTTCGACTGTCCACATCGAAGGATATCATTTGAAATGAGTCGTATTGTTTGCTTAGCAGCACCCAGCCTTGTTGCGGATAAAAATTAGCTAATTAATACAATAAACGTATATACGTACATATGTAACTAAATACATACATGCATACATACTTTCGCCTACGTTACGCCCCAGTTTTGCTGACAACACTTTCACTATTTATCATCACGTATGTATTGCTTTCAAGCTTTCAAGTACACATAGGGGTGTATTTATTCCAATTGTTGCCGCTCCATTAGCACTGCGCATATACATATTCACTTGACAAAATAATTAATTATACAATGACTTTATATATAATTAATCTTCGACTGTCATAAAAAAATTTCGTATGTATTAATAAAACAATTGTTTCTTTCCTTTTGTATATTTGCAGATGATTAAGATGATGGTCACAGTTGTTATTGTATTCACCATATGTTGGCTGCCTTTCAATGTGCTTGTGGTAAGTTTAGACTTTCATATGCTTATAAGCACACATAAATATTAAGTTTTTTATATATGTAAGCTTATTAGCGCAAAATCATATTATTAATAATAAAATTTCAATACATACATTTAGTGCTTATCATAACTATACGACACTCCCATACTTTTTGAAAAGTTTTTGACTATAGATACATTTTTTTATTATTTAATTTTAATTTTCTGTACATATGTACATTAGACTGTCTGACTAATTATTTTTCCCTCGGTCCCATATGAAAATTTCGTTTTCGGTCACAAAAAAAAAAATAACTGTGGCAAATTTTCAGCCATCTAAGTTCATTTTCAAGTTGGCGCTCGCAAAGACACGAATTTTTAATGGACAAATTAAATGTCTATTTAGATATTAAGTAAAGATTAATATGGGGTCTTAATTAGAGAAATACAAGCCAAATCAACAATTTTTTCTGTCTGTCTGTAGGTTATTCCGTTTTCGCTTTAATAAGTGGTTCGAAACTGCTAGGACATACCGTTCATTGTTGGCAATTTTTTATTTTTATTTTTTTGTTGAAGGTTTCCTTAATTTTTTCCACTCTGTATGGAAGAAAATGAGCGACACCGTTAAAAAAAAAATCCGAAATCCGGTATTAACCGGTTTGAAGTTTGAAGCTCGGTTTTTGTTACAGAGCGAAATACATATATTTTCATAAAAAAACAATGATTAAAATTAAATAATTGTGTAGAAATTTGGATATCGTGTGTCGCATAGTGATGATAAGCGCTTTGTATACTTTTCCCTCATTTGTTTTCATTCAATTTAATTGTACTCTTTGCAGCTTCTACTCAACGACGATGACTTCAACATGTGGGACCCATTGCCCTACTTTTGGTTTGCATTCCATTGGCTAGCCATGTCGCACAGCTGCTACAATCCCATCATTTATTGCTACATGAATGCTCGCTTTCGTGGTGGATTCCTGCAGATTATTTATCGTGTGCCAGGTTTGCGTCGATGTTGTTGCCTGCGTCGTTATTTGCATAATCGTGGCGACCGAAATTATGATGCTACCGGTGAGATGACCTTCAAATTCAATGCTGATAATGGTGGAGGTCTGTTGAGGAAACCTAAAATACGCATTAGGTGCCACCAAACTCTGGTTTCTTCTCTTCTATCTTGACATCCTTTTTAACTGTTTTGCTTTTTTTTACACTTTCTTTTTGTTAGTGTAATGTTTTTTGTCAGAAACTTGTATCATTGCTTTACCTTGCTTCTTTTGTTGACTGGAGCTAGTTAGTTATATGTACGTGTGCATGTTAGCATATCATAATGCATGTTCCCTAGCATGTTGTCATACATAGTATGCAAAAAGTATACCGTTATGATTGTAGTTACTGAAGTTCCTTTGTGAGGATATCGCTTTCAATTATACTGTGAAACGTCGATGTGGCAAAGTTGTAGGCACTATGGGCCAGCAGCCCATAAAAAGTGACGAAAATATGAAGCCAATGATCGATTTCAATGATATTGCGTACAAGGGGGTTTTTGGGCTCGCTGGTTAGGAATCTGAAGTCGGATTTAGAAAATTCAAAATGGCGAATGACTTAAAAAAATAGATATATGTATATTAAATTTTTATGAAACTGTCTACAGAGGGGTCTATGGGGCAGCTGATTACGAATTTGAAGCCTGATTTGGATTTTCCATATAGTGGCGCCAATATAGCGGATGACTTTTAAAATTGCGGGGCAGCTGATTAAAGAATAAGACATATGCAACACTTAAAAAATATACACACAAAAAAAATAATAAAAAAAGTTTTCAGGTATATAAAAATTTAAGAAATTACAAAAAAAAAAATTATTAAAGTGGATACCACATTTGTCGTAGGCTAACTTAAGGCGTTACCGTACAAATTTGGATTCGTTATAAATCCCATAAAAAACTTCCTTACATCACGCACTATAAACACTTAATATTTTGTTCAATGCATTCCACTGCCATATATGATCAATTTTCCAAAATGATTCCAGTAATAAAGAATTGAATAAATGGTTTTTCTTGATCATAGCATTAATGCGGTTAGAAGAAACTATGATGCAATGAGGTTTGTTATTTAATTTGGGAAAAATACTATACGGTTTTAGCTCAAATAGGATCTTCTTTTTTCTTTTTCTCTTTAACGTGTCAAAAGATTCAATGACATACTTTATGGTGTGTTTATTTGCTACAGATACGGCAGCAAGCCTTTTTTATTTCCAACTGTTATTATCACATTCTTTTTGGGAAGAATAAGGTGTCACCATCACCTGATTAGTCTCTTAATAAGATTCAAGAGTCCCGCTACTTTACAAGGAGGAGGAATCATCTTGAATGAACACATTTTAGTGCTTAAGGTTTTAAGGTTTTTTGTTCCAGCCTATATGCAGCGATAGTGTTCACAGTCTTCTTCATCCGCCCTCGCTCTGCCGGAGACCCCGGTTGAAACCAGAGCAGACGTGACGCCACAAAGGCAGCTTTAACGAACCCATCTTTTCCGCCTTTGCCTTCGGATTACGACATTTTCATCAAAATCAAGCTACCAGATCGAAAATTATAATAAAATTTTTTTCTGAAAAGATTTTGATCGGCAAAGGAAAAAATTAAATATTCAAAAGCAAAATGCGCATTTGAAAGCTGCGAAAATACCAGATACCACTGCAAGGAGGACGGTATAAAATTTTTTCAATTACCACCGCTTCTTTTTGTGAGACCAAAATGGCTTGAAGCCTGCAGCTTGCTGAGCCAAAATATCTTTTGAGGAATTAACGACATTCCAATACTCGTAAAGGAGGAGGAGGCGGAGGTAAAAACTGGTTTCCGTCTCTACGATTATTTAGTTTTTAATTTTTTAAATAGATTACAGCAGAGCATAAAGAAAACGACTTTCTCGAAAACATAAGTCCACTTAAAGATATTGAGTTTGATGGGCTGGAAAATTTTGCAGGTTACCTTGTGTCGAAAATGGGACTGGCGCAATTCGGTTCCAGGACGAGTGAAGGGAAAGATAGTAATTATACATTCGTTAATTGCATATCTGAAAGGAGGTATTTATAAACCAAGTGCTGATTTTTTGAATATTTTGGAGCATTTGAACTCGAAATTTATTGAAAGTAATGGTGAAAAAGTAAGAAGTCCAAATTCAAAAAGACATTTATTGTACAATCCAAATGTTACTATCGAGGAAAGAATTGTAAAAGGTTTTGTTTTTTTTTTTGGAAGGAAATGCCATGATTCATTGTATTACGAAGTAAAATTGCATTCTTTATATGCACATATTTTCAGTACATATGTATATTATGTACTGGACTTGTATAATTTCATCTAAGAAGACTAAATTATTTACACCCATTTACTGTGAAAGAAATTCCCATCTCGAAATTTCTTAATTTATGAAACATGAAAAAATTATGAAGCTTCAAAAATCTCAGTATCCGTCAAAAAGTTGTTTATTGAAACAACCTTCTTTTTTATCATGCCTTAAATGCTATCTTGACTGGCCTAATCAGCGTTTGTCCTTGGCTTCGAAATAAAATTTAGCAATAGACACGCATACACTCGTGTACATTAACGTTTATTAGCCAAGTGGATATTTTATGTATTTAATCAATTCGAAGAAAGGTCTTGTTATTAGCCGAGTGAATGTAATTATTATAAATATTTCCAGCTAAATTTATTTTGTGATGACTTAAAAAAATCTGACACACGTAAACTTAATTTTGGGTGGTGGATAATGGATCTGTATATAACAATAAATAAAATAGAAAATCTTTTTAATATACTACGCTTTTATAAATGGACTACTAATTAAAAAATAATATTTCTCAGATCTATAAAATTTGTTTTGATAACTTTTGATTTTGAAATTTGAAAAAGTTTTTTTTTATTTTAGTTATTTTATACTTTTTAATCTTGTCTGTAAAAAATTATGCAATAGATATTAAATTAATTTAACTTGCAGTGAAAAGAGAACAGAAGTTTATACAATGTTTTGTGCTCACGTTGAGTATATACATACATACATACATTCATATAGCAGCGGCGCGACATCTAGAGTCTTATAATTGTATGTCTTTGATATGATACGTATGACGAGGTTGATATCTAGACTTTGCCATAAATACCTTTGCTATATTTGTAGTACAAATGGTGGTCTGGACATACACCATTGCAAGTTGATAAAAGCGTTGTAATCGTAAATTCTTTTAACTAATGTTAAAACCCATTCTTTTGCAAAAACATCAAGCTATCAGCGTAGGAAATTGATTGATAATTTCAACAAAAATATACAACGATATTATTAATAGATTATACATGGCGTATGAGTGACATTCTTTCAAGTCATATTTCATAGAAAATAAATTACTACGCATTCTCATTTGATCATTTACAACTTTAAATATGTATCAATCAATTTTTTTCGTCGATAGCCTGGTGATTTTTAATTTACAAAAAAACCTTTTATTTTAAAATTTTTCCCTGTTAAAGTTTGCATTTTTGTATTCACAATGCAAACTACAGAGTCGCAATCTATGGCCCAAAATTAAGTTCAGGTGTTTCGGCGTTTTTTTTTTTTGTGTAATTTCGAAATTTGAAATTTTTCTTACAGTGTAATTGGAAGAAGTACAAAATAGAGACATTCTTTCAAAGAAATTTGTGTGTGCAAATTAACTACTAAGAAATAATTATCAAATGTTTTTTTTAATACCTATCTTTCAATCAAAATTCTTTGGTGTCGTGCTAGATACTTATAAAGTATTGCGTTGAAAGCGCTTATAAAATTGATAATTCTACTAATTTCATTACAGTTTTTGCTTGGTCTATACATTTTCTTACACACCCCGCACACTTAGCAAAAAACTATTTAAAAAAAATTTAAAATAATATTTCAATTTTTTTTTTAATCTTTGCTTTCATGCAATAAAGGCACGGACGATGCATTCCACTTGCAGCGGGTGAACACCTCAACCACATACATCAGCACACGAAGAAAACTCCGAGCGAATTCCATGCAAATGGTAGGTAGCGATTGTGCAAGTATGCAAGTTCGTAGGAAAATGTCCAATAGAGAGAAAAACTTAATACTGTTTATACATATAAATGCTTAAAAATTTTTTTTTTTATTATAAGCATTTAACGCAACAATTTATATTTACATACATATGTATGTATTAAGGTTGTCCTTCAAATATAAAAATATAAATTTTGTAATAGTTCTGCGTACAAAATAAAGACATCCACGAAAATGTCAAAATTAAAAAAAAGAAATAGAGTTAAAAAAAAATTACATAGTTTTCGCTTGAAATCTGATAAATTCGACAATTTATTAAAACTTATTCACATGAATTTATAAACATGCCGTATTTTAGTTGGGCAAGATAAATTTTTTTATGAATTTTTCTGATTTAAAAAATAGCTAAATTTTTTGAAACCCTGGGGCCTATTTCATAAAGTGGCAGTAATATCTCTGTAACGGCAGGCATTTTCCATTTTGCGGGCGACCATTCGACAGATTGGTGGGTGTTTTGTTTCATAAAAATAATTGTCACCACGGCTTCAAATCAATGAGAAAATTCATTAAAAAGTGACAAATTGTCGCTGTCGGGTATTGAAATTGTCGTTGACAAAATTGTCGCTAGTCTTATGAAATTCATATGTAATAATTGTAAATGCCTTATTTTAGTTTTAAGAAATATTCAAATTATAGAAAAATAATGAAATGCCCGCAATTGCCATCTATGTAAACAAAATTGTAAAGACGACAAATTTACCAGGGGCCACCGAAAATGCAAATGCATATCCATTTAGGGTACTACCGTTATAAATGTATGGATTTATGTTGTAAATTGCAATTGCTTTATTAAAAACACAAGCACCCTCAGCTAAAAAAAGATATTATTAAAAATTAGCCACTGGAAACTGAAACGTTAAACCCACAAACTGCATCAAATTTTAGATGAAGTTTTTTTTCGAATGGACACTTTCCTACTGGGTATTTAACCCATGTACTGAATTTGTGCCTGGAAGTATGCAACAGCAGCTGCATATTGGACAAAAGTGTAAATCAGGGAAAGCGAATGCCAACGAAACGGTGGTCATAAAATTAACGCCAATGTAAAGTGGCAGAAAAGTTTTAATTTCCTGCATAAATTCAACTTGCACAAATAACATCTCACACACTCATACACACACTTTGACAAATGCGAGATACCACCAAGTACCGCATTCAAACATATTCCACTTCCAATAGTTCACATTTAAGACATACTACTAAAGTACATTCCAAGATTTCTACGCTGGTTTTTTGAAAATTTTTAAAACTTATACTCTCTTCTCTCCTTCTTATTGCAGAGTCAATTTTCATGTGCCGAACCCACAGTGTTGCGGTAGTGCCAGCCCCATAGGTGTGGGCAATCCCGCATCTCCGTACCGCCCACAAGAACGAATATTCAGCCGCCCATCAGCAAGTCGCGTTTTGTGTGACGAAAGTTATGTGATACAGAATAAACGCACATACACATATGAATATGTACATATGTATGTATGTATAAATTATATATCTTCACGCGAATTTACGGCACTTTGAAAAGCAGTATCAGCTGCATATGGAAATTGTTTAAGCTAATTTACATACATATGCACTTATGTACTTATGTGTGTCTATACATATTTATGTATGAACATGCGAGTGAAATTGTACTTTAGCACTGGCATCTGACGTGCATATACATATGTACATTAGACTGCATCACCAAAAAAAAGTTGCATTTTTTCCGCCGGAATTACAAAATTTATTACATTTTAAGACGTCCACCAAAGCGAGCTGGACCGATTTGAAAATACCTCCAAAAATGAAGCTTTTTATGAATGAAAATAGTTCCTTAAGGAACTTTTTGAAAAAAGTCCCCTCAGATGACAAATTAGATTAAGCTTAAAAAGTCTGCATAAAAATATTTAGAAATCTTTTCAACGGAATCGTAAGAATGAGGTTTTTGATGCTGTTTTTTTACTTTTTTCAAAGATTGGTTTACGAAAAACTTGAATAACTGGGCCAAAAATGTTCTGATTTAGTATTATGGGATCTCAGTAGAAAGGTATTTTCACACTGTTTTTATTTCTGGCCAAAAAAAACGTCATTCGTGTCCCATCTGGTTTTTACGAATTGGCATTCGTCTTAATTCAACTCTGAATGACCATCGTTCATCCTATCTTTCTCTTCCATCCTTTGAATGAGCTTATTAGCAAGGAACAAAAAGGTTGAGAAAATACCTTTCCAATGACACCTCTTAAGTCTAAATCGGAAGAGTTTAGGTTCAGTTATTCAAGCTCTTCTTATACCAATCTTTGAAAAAAGTTAAAAAACAGCATCAAAAATCTCATCAACGATACCGTTCAAAATTTTTTTAATTTTTTTTAAATATTTTAAACTTAAACCGTTGTCATTTGAGGGGATTTAAAAAAAATCTTTAAGAAACTATTTTGATTCATAAAAANATGTCAGTTGAGGGGATTTAAAAAAAATCTTTAAGAAACTATTTTGATTCATAAAAAACTCCATTTTTGGAGGTATTTTCAAATCGGTCGGTATAATCGATTTTATAATTCCAATGGAAAAATAGTACCGATTTTTGTTTGTATGGGGAGTGATGCAGTCTAATGTACATACATACGTTGCGTGCAACTAATTAACAACGACGACTACTCAAATATATACTAACCACAGATGTTTAGGTTTATGTCCAGAGAAATCTAATTCAAATAGTAAATGAACATCAATGGGAGGAATTGATGAAAACGAGTTTTTCTGAAAGTCTGGATTTTATATAGAGGAGCAATTTCTTAGTTTTCCCTGGCTGGCAATTTTAAACGTTTTTTTCCTCAATTTGAAGTTGTCGGTCGCAGAGCAGCCTTTAAAAAAATTAAAAGTAATTTGCGGGTAATTGCAAATATTTATACCATCAAAGGGCCTTCTGGTGGTTTTGGGTACAAGGAATTTGAAACTGAAATTCATTTTTACCAAAAGCGACCTTGCATTTTTCCTTCATGCTCCTTCCATATTTTTTGCATCAGAGCGCACCCAGCGGCCGTTATTGGCGAAAATAAATTACAAATTAAGATATTTATGTGAGCCGAATACGGGACAAAAAATATTTTTGCAAATTTTTTCCACAAAAACTTTCAGGTCTTAAAGCCTTCTTCAATGATTCTAGGTGTATTAGCCCTGAAACAGCATCCTTGTAGTAACATTGCAAATTTGCAGGAAATTTTTCTCCAGATTTTTACACCCCAAAAATTGTTAAAAAAAAGTTAAAGTTTTGGTATAATAAGGTGCAACTTTGAAGTCGCACTGTTAATTGTTGAATTTTTTTTTTGTTGACGATGTTGCGCATCTTTTTCATACAAAGTAAGTATGTTCGACCATTTTTTTTAAAAGAGAAGCAAATGAGCAGCACGTTATTATACTAAATTTTAATGAGGTACAAAACTGCAAACCAAATTTGTTTTCTAAAGATTCTAATTAAAAGAGTTTGAAATTTTTGTGAAACATTGAACTAATAATTGTTATAGTTGTTTGCATTCAGATTAGAAATAATAACTGTTTATGGGAGAAATTAGAGTACGATTTTCCATTCACTAAAAATCCAAAGGCGGTGTTTCTTCGCAAGCTCTCATCGATGTTTTCTATAATCTCCGGAGGGCAAAAGCTTCTTCCTGGAGAGCCTAACTTCACGAAATTAACATTTTACGATGTCGAGAGCTCATATGCTTCATTAGTTCTCATAAAGCGCTGATGGAGCTTTATTTGCCGTCTTGCGTAGGTCCTTTTTAAAATTATCTACACAAATTTTAACTCACCTTCTCGTCGTTTTACCCGATACCCTAATGCGTGAAACTTGTTTTACCATTGAATTTCAAATTTAGCATTGTATAGCTTTGAAATCAATAATTTTTAAGCGAAATGGGAGTTTAGGATACTGCTGTATGCGCACTTATCCTGGTATATCTCGGGAGCAACATGCTTACCCTCTTCGTCTCACAACCTTCCTTTCTAACCGCGTTTAGTTATGGCTATAATAACTAACGCTAAGCTATTGTAAGAAAACATAGTCCAACATGAAGTGCTTTTGAAGGAAAATAAAGAAATTCATTTGCTTTTTTCCTAATTATTCGCACAATTCGTTTACTTACTTTTGTATAAAAAGTTACGTAACTCTTTTATAACGCTTTTTTAACCGACTTCAAAAAACGGAGGAGGTTATGAATTCGTCGGAATATTTTTTTTTTAGATCTGATCATTGTATCATTAAAAAAATAATGGTACTCCTAAATTTGTATATGAGAATTGAAGTCGGTTTTGTTTTTTGCTTAAAAATTACTTGTTACTACCAATTTTTGACAGTTTTTTCTAGCCAAGGCTTCGTTTCGCTGAAACCCATAAAATTTTTATTTCGGACTACTAAGTATTTTATATGTATACAGGTTGATTGATATAATCCATAGGGGTACGTCGTTGTTAAATAGTTGCATGCAACTGCATGTCTTACATGTATGTATATTAAAAAGCATAAAAGAAACCAAAGAATAATTTAGATTGTAAGTTGCGACCAACTCTATTACCGTAAAGATAAATAAAAATCAAACTTTACCAAAGAATGTCCAATGAGCTTTTGTGAAAACGCATGCACATACATAGGTCGTCGAGGGATAAATCCAATAATATGTATATGTAAATACATATATATGTACGAGTATGTGTGCTTTAAAAACAGATTTTACATGCCACGAATGAAAAGCGTTTTAAGAAACGATCACAAAGTTTTCTTTTACACTAAAGCAGTTTGGCTGCTATTTATTATTGTGAACTTAAGTACTTGGAACTTTTTGAATATTTGCTAGTCTTATGAAAACCAAAAATGTGTAGATATGTAATTCTGAAATTAAAATTTTAATGAAACAGTTGTAGCTTGTACACATACATATGTATGTATGTACAAGCCCATTTAAGTAAAAGTGTGTTTTTAAACACAAATACACAACAAAAATGTAAGTAAGCCCGTTTATTCAACAATATTTTCCAAACGTTTTTTACTAAAGTTTTCCAAACTACGTAGTTTGTGAAATATCAATTTTCCAAACGTCTCTAACTTTTTTTTACAATTTTTTGGTCTTGTTGAAAGAATGTGAAGTGAGGCAGAAACTTGAAAGCAGTGGTGGGCATACCTAAATACGTTTGAATATAAACTGCCATTTTGGGCGCTAAATATTCAAATACTTAGTATTTGGAGACGACTAAAAATTCCAAAAAAGCAAAAACTTAGGTATTTAGGAGTTTGCTAAATACTCAAGTAAAAATACTTAGGTATTTAGGAGCTATTGGATACTAAAGTAAAAAAAAAAAAACTTGGGTACTTCGGAGCTGCTAGATACTTAAGTTCAGAAAATTAAAACTTAAACTGAAACATAAAATCACCATACCTAAATTCGCCAAACCTTAACTTACCACAACTGAAGTCATGACCAGCGTTGTCCAAATCTTTCACTGAAAATCGTCAATTTGACAAAAAAAAAATATCGTAATTTCAACTTTATAAATTGAGCTCAAATAATTAAATGTCTGAAATTGCACAGAATATAAAATTGTCCTCATGAAACACACTGCGCAAAGTTGCCTAATTGCCCAAATATAAAACTTGCGCGAATCGATTCGCCGGAATATTTTTCTTTTATGTACGTTACCGCATAACTTTAGACCACGTTAACCGATTTCTGTAATTCTTAGTTTTTTAAAGCAAAGTTGGTGCCTCAAGGGTGGTCCCATACTATTTAATTTGGTTTAGATCCGATCATTGGATCATGAAGAAATTAACGGTAATCTTAAATTTTTTATGACTTTGTTTTTTGCTTGTTACTTTATACAAAACTACATGCGATAAATATGAAATATTGATTTGTAATTTCATTTCATTTAACAACAATTCATAATTAGAATTTTATAAAACACAACTGCTTTTAAATTGTTGAGTTCCACTAGTATGAAGTTTTTTAAAAGAGTAACAGGAAAAAATTTCCTCTGCTATATTTCTGTCTCTTGTACAAAACTAGATAAATAGATGATTGTATCAATTTTGGATTATGTCTTCCCTTAACAGATTTTTTACATACATACATACATATGTATGAATTTAAGTGGAAAAACTGAAATAAAAATCGTAATTTTAAATCCACTCACCCCACNATACATACATACATATGTATGAATTGAAGTGGAAAAACTGAAATAAAAATCGTAATTTTAAATCCACTCACCCCACCTCAATTTCTAAACTATTTCGGGATTTTAGTTATATTCATCGATGTTTATTTCGATAAATTTATAGACGATTTATTAATTTTTTATTCGATATACTTTCCTATAGGGTTACCTGTGTTTTCTTAACGCTATATTCATCGATATTTTATCAATATATTTATCGATATTGTTATCGAAATAATAGTTGGTATTGTTATCGGTATAATACTGGATATCAATATATTTATCGATATTGTTATCGAAATAATAGTTGGCATTGTTATCGATATAATACTAGATATTATTCTCGACATGATTATCGCCATTTTTATTGCTATATTAAGCGTTTAGTCTCGAAAAATCCAAACTAGTCCCTAGAATCCTAAAAATAGCGAAACAGTCTCGAAAATTTCGAAATAGTCCCAAGAACTCTCCAAAAGTTC